ATAAAACTATGGATTAATCCCACCAATGATGTATATGCAAAAATTCTAAATATAAAGAGAATAAATACAATGAAGAAGTATGACAAAGAAATACTGGGGATGCCTGGTGGCTCAGTCGGCTAAGTCAGCTAATTGTTAAGTGTACTTAACAATACACAAAACTGTATATAATAGAAAAATTAAAAAGGAAAACATTGAAATGTGTTTATAAAAAGCTTGAGGGGAACAAAGAGTCTATTTTTATAACCTAGAGAGAGGTAGGAAGGACCTTCCTCAGTGTGATCAAATATCTAGAAGCCATAAAGGGAAAATACAAAAGATTTGATTACCTATAGTTGATCATCTATATAAGGGGAAAAACACGAGCAACACTAAATGGATTAGATATCCACTTACTTTGACAGCACCAACATCTAGCTAAGTCAGTTTGCCCTGATTCCCTGATTACTAAAGAAATAATCTTCTGATAATAATTTGGTTTCTGAAATAGAGTGATGTTACGGAGAGAACATTCTGAGCAGCAAATACTAAGAATTTGATCTACTTGGCAACGATTTTTCTCACAGTAACAGAAATGATCACTCTTTTTTATTTTCAAAAAGAAATTCTGCCCCACCTGATAATATGTCCCTTACTCTGCAAACTTAGAAACGCTCAACAAACGGGGAACTCCGTGCCCAGACAAAGATCTTGCATTATTACACTTACCCTTTCAGAGGTCAACAGGGCCAGAGAGTTACACTAAAGCCCAATCTCAATGGTGGACTGAATTATATGTGCATGAACCTGTAAGGATAAAGATACCCCTCCAATAGGGCTTCCTGCACTCCCCACCTCCCTTCTCCCTCCCCGCAGGCCTATCCCCAAACATGCATTGCCCAAAACCTTAACACAAGGCCTGAGGGGGACCCAATGGACAGGGTCAAGTGTGGAAGTACAACATTCTGAAAAACAAATATCTGTTATCCTGCTTAGTACCACACCTCAGGGCAAGGCAGACCAGGGGCCATTATCTTGGTTTTCTGCACCCCAAGATGGCAGCAAGATAGCTCTTGTTTAAAGGCACAGAAGAGCCGCAGTTCAGATAGAGAAACCAGAATAAACCTTCAGCCTGGGATATGATGTAAAATGAATGTACCAAGTTAACACTGAAAATAGTCATAATCATTCTGAGAAAAGCCATTATCAAGGGAAAGTAGATAATCTCCATTTGTCAAAGTTCACCCCTTAGAGCATTAACTGCACTGTGTTTCCGTGTGTGTAGTTTGGCTAGTTTGCAGCAGCAGTTGTCTCTTCTTGTTAGGTGGCACTATGTTAGGTCATTCCTCAAGCAGTAGCTTGAACAACAGTGACAATGGCAGTGGCAGAAACAGCATATAGGCCATTGCTGTATTTCCTCTGGATTTCAAGCAAGGCAGTTGGCAGAGCCCTAGAATGGTGAGGGGAAGTGGTTGGGCCAAGTGGAACTTTGATGATATGTGTACTGAATGGAGAAATGTGATACTAATAATTGTTTTGAGTCCATTATGAAGGATGCTAAAACACGATGGGGACAGGATACAATATACTTTGGGCTATGCAAATTCTACAATTTGAAATGGTGGTCTGGACCAAAAATTCTAAGTCAGTAGGTAAAGTACTCATAATGTCTTCTGTCTCAGGATGTAAGACAATGAATGAGTTAATCAGTGCAGTTAAGCATTTTCAAATCTGCTGCCTAATTCTGTTATTCAAGTTATTACATATTGTCATCTTGCCTTACAACCAAGGACAAAGCATACTATTAGATCTTGAACACATGAGCAGTGTTAATCAAGGTATCTTTGCCAACACATGCAAGGGGGAGTGACATCCTGTTTGACAAAGTGGGTAAAATGCAGATAGAACTTTAAACAAGTTTTCAGTACTAATAAAGAAAATAATATAAGAATAAAATAAAGTAAGTTTAAGAGGGACACTGGGAATGAGACAATTGTTTGAGTTCTTACTGTAGCAATTGATTGATTTGTCGTGGTGTGGTATTTCTTCTTTTTTAAAGATTTTATTTATTTATTTATTTTGTCACAGAGTGAGAGAGCACAAGCAGGAGGAGTGGCAGGCAGAGAGAAGCAGGCTCCCTGTTGAGCAAGAAGCCTGATGCGATGTGGGACTGGGACTTGATTCCAGGACCCCGGGATCATGACCTGAGCAGAAGGCAGATGCCTAATTGAGCCACCCAGGCGCCCCATGAATATTTTTTCAGATGTTCAAACTATACATCTGAGTTAGAAATGAGTTCTATTTTCTCTATTTTCTTGAGTTATCTCCAATGAATATTTTTTAGGAGAAAATTCGAAAAATTTTAAATCCGCTCCCAAAAATTTAGTTACAGTATTGTCTAATTTTATAAAAGTAACTCAGCACCCCAACTTGAACATATCAATAAAATGGTCTTTATTATTTGCTCCATATCCAAACTGCTCATCCTACCTGACATATAGGAGCATCAAGATAAATACTATTTTCTCTGTTTCTCAACTGAACCTCACCTATTGGCAACTCCCAAGATTTTACTCTTTCTTCTACACCTTGCTATGTGGGTATCTATAAAGTTATGGACTCAACATAAAGATTATCATCTTCATCTGTGTCTTCATCAGGAAGAGTTTTGTGTCAAGTATCTAATAGAGGCTTATCCAGTCATTTGGTTCCATACAGGATGATTTTAAACAACCAATTGCTCAAGTTTGGAAGGCTGCTGGCTCTACCTCTTACTAATGAAGTGATATCGGGAAACTCACCTGGCTTCTCCAAGTCTCATTTCTTCTGCAGTAAAAATATATTTACTTGACAGGATCATTGAGGAGATTAAGTGGAGGGGGTAGGAACTATAAAAGATGTCAATCAGTGTCTGACAAATATTAGGTATCACCCACTTTTTTCTTCTATAATATACATAATATATATGTATGTATATATGTATATAATATACTTGAATGTGTTACTTATCAAATTTGATTTAAAAATTTGATCTTTTATCTTTAACAAGATCTGTTTGTACAGAATTCTCTCAGCCTCAGCTCCCCATCTCTGGTGGTAAGAATGTGTCTTTCCTTCTGGTGTAGGGAAGACAGTTTTCATATGGGATTTTTATCTCCTGCCTTTAGGAAGAAAAGGGCAGGTCAGAGTACCTTTCTTGGACCTATTTTCCAAATGCTACTACTTCTTTTAAGATTTTATTTATTTATTTGTGTGTGTGAGAGAGAGAGGGAGACAGCAAGTGGGAGCAGGGGGGAGGGGTAAAGGGAGAAGCAGATTCCCCACTGAGCAGAGAGCCCAAAGGGGGAAAGGAATTGATCCCGGGACCCTGGGATCATGACCTGAGCTGAAGGCAGACACTTAACCTACTGAGCCACCTAGGCACCCTTCCAAATGCTTTTAACTCAAAATAATCCTATGCCAAAGGGGCATATTTTGGGGCAGCATATTCTATCAACTTTCACACTCATATAAAGTTTAAAATAAAAAAGACTCACAAATTAAAAATAGACCCAGCCATAAAACTAAAAAAAATTAAATTAACATTAATGAGATTGATTAAATGTTGCTTTGTTGTCTCGGAATCACCATCTGCAATATGAATGGAGTAGTGATGCTACAGCAGAGATTCCTTTGATTTAAACGTTCCTTCAGTAGTGGGACCTTGATGACTCCTCCTCAACCCTCTGCCAGTTTCCTTAAACTACTGCAAAACCTCTATCAGAACAAATGATATACTTATTATGAAGCAAACACACTCTTTAAGTATTAAATACAGTTTTACATTCTTCTCATTGACTAGAAACAGAATTTCACTGATTTAAGATGCCTTTGAGTATTAGATGCATCATTATTTTACACACTACAAAAGGAAAACAATACTTCTAATTAAAGTGTGGGACAATGTTAAGGTGCCAACAACTGTTAAGATGCATCATAACTTCAGAGATACCAAACTATGGGGAAAAGAAGTCTATCTACTACTAGTGAATACAGTAGTGCTACTTTGTGCCATGACACTATTTTTTAGAAGTCTTTTTCTAAATTAACATATAATGTATTATTTGTTTCTGGGGTACAGGTCTGTGATTCATCGGTCTTACACAATTCACAGCACTCGCCATAGCACATACCCTCCCCATTGTCCATCACCCAGCGACCCCATCCCTGCCACCTACATCCCCTCCAACAACCCTCACTTTATTTCTTGAGATTAAGAGTTTCTTCTGGTTTGTCTCCCTCTCTGCTTTCATCTTGCTTCATTTTTCCCTCCCTTCCCCTATGATCCTCTGTCTCATTTCTCAAATTCCTCATATCAGATCATATGATTGTCTCTAATTGACTTATTTCACTTAGCATAATACCCTCTAGTTCCATGCATATTGCTGCAAATGGAAAGATTTCTTTTTGATGGCTGCATAATATTCCATATTATATACGTACCACTTCTTCTTTATCCATTCATCTGTTGATGGACATCTAGGCTCTTTCCATAGTTTGGCTATTGCTGCTATCGGGTGCACATGCCCCTTCAGATCACTACATTTGTATCTTTGGGGTAAATGACCAGTAGTGCAATTGCTGGGTCGAAGGGTAGCCCTATCTTTAACTTTTTGAGGAACCTCTATACTCTTTTCCAGAGTGGCTGCACCAGCTTGCATTCCCACCAACAGTGTAGGAGGGTTCCCCTTTCTCCGCATCCTTGTCAAGCCATGAAAATATTTAACATAACACAAAATTTGTCTCCCCAGTCACCAGTTGGTATCCAAACATCCCCATTTTTACCCTATCCTTCAAGCCCAACTTACTTAAGTGTCCCCCTCCTCTGTACAACTTTTGCCTGAGCACTGTTGCCTGCAGAAGTTTCTGCACAGATGAGAAGGGTTTGGCCATGATCAGAGGCTTGTGGTTTTGTTAGTGTATTTTTGTTTCCATACATCTTGCCTTTCCAAATAGATCATAAACTCAAGGACGGAATAATATTTTTTGCTGGCTAAAACACACAACTTTATTGATGAAACACAAGTCGAAGATTAACAAATGTAAACCAATACAAAAGTGTAGCTTATTTATGATTAGTCTGCTGTCAGTTTAGGTAGAGGAAAGAGTAAAAAATATCTCAATCTAGGTAGCAAGATGGAATCAATAAATGCTTTCTTTACACAAGCTCTAGTATTCAATAAATCATTAAAATGCTCCATACTGAAACCAGCCACCACAAGTAACATCACTGATGACTCTTGATATTCATTATTCCAGAGTAGGAGCCAAAAGGATCTCATTGTCATGTAAGCACAGTGGAAAACAAAGAATTTACAAAATGCACTGTTCCCAGTGCACAGTGAAAAATTATCTCAATATTGTTTGGGCCATACGCCAAATTAGAGTTTGGTCAATACTTTTAGGACTTTTACTTTCACCACCAGATCATTGTGATTTGCTAATGCCTTGATTTTCTTAACACACACTCCAGATTCTTTGAATAAGAAAAAAAGTGAACTTCTGCTGAATTCCTTCTTAGATGATGCGAGCCCTTCATTTTTTATGTTGTCATTTATATTCTCAAATAGAGTAAGGATATTAAGAAGAATCTCTCTGTCCCATTCTTTATTAAAGAGGGAAATCAATTCTGAGGGAACTTTACAACTGACCAGCTCTCTCGTCATGGCTGGATTTTCAGTAAAGTTTATAATTAGTTTCATAATCTGAATCTTGGTGAAGTAATTTCCCAAGAATAACAAAGCAAAAAAGTCTGGAAAAGAATAGGAAAGCAAATGTTGGTAATGGTTAGTCACAGTCATGTTGGTTAACAGTCTTAGTCCAGCCATCTGCACAGCTGAATCCAAGCGACAGATCATGGTATCATCACACACTTGACTGATATATGTCTTAATCTTCCCCTGATTTTCAGCATTCACACTCAAGTTATTAAGGGCATTGTAAGCTTTTTCCCTAATAATAGGATCTTTTGTTTTTATCAGTTTTGCAATAATTGGAAGACCACCCAATTCACGAATGGCATTTTGGTTAAAAGAATATGCTGCATTGTTACCCAGAGTGACCAAGGCTATTTCTTGAATAAAAGGATCATTTGATCGTTCCAGGATGTTAAGAACCTTTTGAAGGTCAGAAGCACCCAGAATATCATCAATTTTATAGGGAAAGTTAAACTTGCCCCTGCGAACAGGCCATGATGTAGCTGGAGTCCTGGTGCTCTTACCTCGGGTCCTTCCCTTGGTTTTTCCACTTGCCCTACTTCCAGACCTAGCCCCACTCCTGGTGGGGTGGCAGCCTCCACCCCGGCCTCCTGGGCAGGGTAAACTGGGTGCAAGGGTCCTGTTCCCAGAGATAGTGCCCAACCTGGCTCCTCTGCTGGCCTTTGCACTTGCCTGTTCCTTCAGAGTGCTGAAAAGGGCTTTGGCCTTGGCCTCTAGGCCACCTCCACTCTGAGCCCCCAAGTGGGCCTCTGCCTTTACATCTGAACCATTCTGGAGTTCCATGCCCACCTCAGCCTTGACCTTTGATTCATCCTGAAGTCTAACCCCAGCCCCCACCCCAGCATTAGCCTTAGCTCCTTTCCCAGTCTGGACACCAGTCTCTACAATATCACTAGATTCTTCTTCATCGTCTTCCTCATTGTCGTCCCAGATTTTCTCATTCTCATCTCTTCCCCAGGTCAGCCTGTACACGCAGTAGCAGGCACCAGCCCCGATAACCACACCAGCGGCCACGCAGCCAGCTTCCCGAGTACGGCCCATGCTGGGGTGAACTTCTGAACCAAATTTTCAACCAGGGTAGAGTGGGGTTGCTCCTACGTTGGGGGTGGAGTCTTCAGCTACAGCTGGCAGGCCCGGTTGCAGCTTGCAGATACAGTGGAACCTAGGAATGAAGGAAAGATTTAAGGCATTAGTCTCCCCATTTTGTGCCTTTGCCTACAGACAGACTGAACTACAGACCAGCAAACGGACAGAGATGTGACAGGGATTCAGGGCTGGATCAGTGATTCCTTTCCTCCACGGGGAAGATAATTTTGAAAATTTTCCCCACCTCCAGATCTTCCAACCTCATGTTCAACCATCCCACCCCAGTACGTTACATTTAAGGTATCTAATCAGTTCCCTACCTCCCCTACCCCTCCAGATGTCTTGGGGTAGTGGCACCCCCACATACACCAGCACAGGTCCAGGCAGTTTCTTCCTTCTTTTCCTTGCCTGGAAGTCCACTGTGTCCTGCAACCTGCATACAAAGGGGTGGGGATGAGGATCCTGAAGGCTCAAGGGACAGGACTTCACCCTGGATGGGATACACTTCCCTCTCCGGAATCTCTGGCCCCAGTTCTGAGTAGCCCAACCCTCTACTCCTCAGCGCAGGCTCCTCAGTGGCGGAGCTATTGCTTCGAAATTCAGTCTCTCCCTTCCCCATCTCCTTTATCTCTTTCAATCCTTGTTTCTGATTGAAACAAGAATTCAATTCTCATCTAGGGTTGACTCCGCAACCCTTTCCCTGTAATAAAATGGATGGTGGTGGAGAGAGTGCTGAAGACAGACTGTAAAATGCACAAAACTCGCCCTTGCCCTTGCCTCTCCCACCCCCACCATCTCAGAGATACCGGACACTCCTCCCTCCAGCCATTATACCAACTTCCACCAATCCCGAGTGATTTCCTTCCCCCCTCATCTCAGTTTCTGCCTTCTCCACGAAACCTAAAGACTGCTAACTCTGGGACTGAGTGCTTGACCAACCGAGCAAACCCTAGACACTGTACTCCAAAGAGTAATTTGGAGCAAGATCCTCCCCACCCCCACTTCTGGCGACACTCCGCCCCCCCAGCCACTTCCTTCCTTTCTGTGTCGTCTAACTGCAAAGCACTTTGTTTTGAAAGCTCCAAAATGGAATAAAGTGGAGGAAAGGAGGGGAATGCGGAGGCGGTGCCCGGGTCCACTCGGGTTTGCAGTCTTCACAATTCTCCACCCCAGGGGTCCCCAAATAGTGCCACCACCCTCACTCTGACCTGCTTTTTCTGGACAATCTTCCTGCTTTCTAGGGTTGAACTGGCCCTAAAGTGCAAGATGCACAGACACACAAGCGACAGGGCAGACAGCTGGGCGGACAGAAGAGCACTTCACAGAGTCCCAATAGCAGCTTTACCGAATTCAGGATCCTGGTTGTCCAATATTGGCCTCTCACCCCTACCCCTATTCTCAGGACTCCGCTGACATCAGCCCTCTTCTTGCCAGCGTGCATTCACCCACTCCGCAGCCCCCACCTTCAGTGGTCCGCCATTTTCCCAGCAAAAACCACACCCCTTTCGAACAGCTGGACCGGGAGGAGGCGGGGCGACGGAGTAGGGAAAACCAGAGGAGCAAAAGAGCCCCCTTCCCGATGCATTTCCACCCCCAACGACAGCCATTTTCCCTGCAGGCACTGTCACATCCTTTTTCCTACATAAAATAACAGGAAGGCAGCTGGAGTCAGAAATGGGCCCAAGTTAAGTCAAGGACCTCAGCCACCCCCACCCACTCCGGGTACTGAGGGGCAATCCCACTTTGCATAGACCTGCAGGGATTCCGGGCAGATACGTTGCTCTTTTGCTCTGAGTGGTACAGCGCCCTACTGAAAGACATGGGGAATGAGAGACGCACAGCCTCACGATTCTGGCTTGGTAAATGGACCAGCACACAGGGCAAGAATCTTTGTAGCTGCCCTTCCCAATTCAAGGCCCTGAATGCCAAAGTTTTCAGATCCCCTCCCTCCTGGTCTGGGGTGTCCCCTGGAATCCGGACCCCAGTGTCCACCATTTTTGTTCTTGTAAAGGCCAGGGATAGTGCAAGCCTGTGGAGAAAGCAGGCCTTGTCCCTCTTTGGTCTCCACCCTCTGCTCCCCGCACCGCACGGATCCCCCAGGCAGCGCCCATCCACACACAGACCTGCTGGGATTCGGGCAGTTACCTCCTCCTCCTTCCCTGGCCACAGGCCCGGCCCGCCCTCTGGGTAATATGGAGCTGGTAACCGGACCAAACCGGGACCAGAATTAGAAGGACGCCTGCAAACGTCAGCTCCTGCTCACGTAAGGGCCACGTCACCCGTGAGTTCAAGACCCCAATTACCACTCCCACCAGCAGTGCGGCAAGAGCCGGCCCACCCCTTTCCTTCCCGGCTACATCAGGTCCTGCACTCATTTTCTTTCGCCAATCAGAGGCTGAGGAGAGCTTCTCCTTGTGGCTGGAATTTGCCTTTCTCTGGTTAACACGGAGAAAGTGCATCTGTTCCCTTGTCCATTGGTCTTTTCTTCCTCTTTGAGGAACAGTTTTTTTCTCCCTTCTCTATTCCCTGTCCAATTGCTTCTCCCCTTCTCTCACTTTCCCCCACCCCCAGCCGTGAAGAGCCAGCATTTTCTTTTAAGTTTTTATTTATTTATTTGATAGAGACCACAAGTAGGCAGAGGAAGAAAGAGGAAGGGGAGCAGGCTCCCTGCCGAGAAGAGAGCCTGATGCGGGGCTAGATCCCAGGACCCTGAGATCATGACCTGAGCTGAAGGCAGAGGCTTAACCCACTGAGCCACCCAGATGCCCCAAGAGCCAGCATTTTCCCTGCACTCCTATGTGCAATGGGTGGAAAGATCTCAGAAAAGAATATACGTAGTGGGAGTGTCTTACTTTCTTAAACTTTCCTGTTCATTTTTAAAAATCAGTAAAGTGTTACTTTTATATTGAGAAAATTAAATGATGCTATTTTCATTTGAGTGGAGAATTTAAGTGGGAGCGAAAACCCAAAAGACCTCATTAATTACATTTTATTTATTTATAATACAAGAAAAATGTTTTACTGGGTATAACCAAATGGCAGCTTTCAAAATATACTAATCCATTTTAAAATTGAAAACAATTTTTTTCATACGATCTATGAATTAGTCCACAAAGAGATCTAATCTTTAGTCGTCTAATTTTGGCCAGTTAATGTAAATGATCACTACTTTTTCTACTTTAGGATCAACTTACACTTTGATAAAACAAAAGCAATACAATTCTGTCTTGTTTGATTAAAGAAAGACATGTATTTAATGTCCCAAAGTCTTGGTGGAATGCTGAAGGAATCTGTTGTGATTTGATGGCTGTTTTGAACACCTGCTCCTGGATTAGATTCCAGTCCACTAAGGAGGAGGCAACTGAGGGTGTGGGGAATGTAGAAATGGTCTGATCTCTCAGCTCTGTCAAAAAGGGAGGAAGGAGGTTGCTGACCCTCTACCTCCTCTCCTATTCCTGAGCCTTCATTCCCTGCATTCAGCCACTTGACTCTATCTCTGGCTCTAAAAGTACACAGGGACTGGTGACCAAGGTGGTAAATACCACCTTTACTCAGGGGACCAACTTGAGTAACTGTCTTTGGCTTCTTCCCTTTCTCCCTCCCTCCCCCAAATTCCCACAGGTGTAACTCAGGGATGCCTAGGAGGGACTGCTGCTCCCACAGAGCCCTGCAGCTGTGGCTTCCCATGGAGAAGAAGTGATTGCTGGCTGGCAGACGCACCCAGATCGGCCTGCTCTGCCCTCTCTCCTGGTGCCTTAGTTAACAGGGCTTCTTAACACTGCTGCTACCACCTGGCTGGAGGGGTGCAGCCAGCTGGGCCTCTTACCTCTGGCCTCCTTGCCACAGGGCACCCAGGGAGAACCTGGTCTTGCTGCAGGGTCACTGTCTGCAGCCCACACCCACTTTGTTGTCCCCTCAGCCAAATGTGTGCCGGGACCGCAGGGAGTCTCCCCACTGACCATACCTATTAACCTAGAGTGGGGTTTCTCAACTGACCACCTCTGTGCTGTACCTGAAATTGAACACAAGGTTATGCACATACACATGTTCATTTCGTGGAAAGAGGGCTCATGGCTTTAATCAGATTCTCGTGGACATCTATGACTTTAAAAATATAATAAACTACTTGCCTAGGAAAAAAGATATATCCCCCTGTGTAGAAATCAATCTCTTCCTTTCTCTCTCTCTCTCTCTGCCTCTCTCTCTCATTATGCACATTTCTTATTTTTTTAAAAAATGTGCAAAAAATGCAGAAATGTATAAGGTAGAATGTGAACGTGCCCTACAATTCCTGTTCCACCACCACCGACTTTTAACAATTTCCACCTTTCCTCATGCAAATGCAATAAGTATATGGATGCATGTGTCAAGTTCCAAGTTGAACAACAATACAGAGAATGAAATGGTTGACATTTAGTGACATTAAGTGCAATGAATCTGCACTTTGAGAACATCTTTAAAAACTGTGTCTATCCATGTTGACTTTTATGATCTTCAACAAATTTTATGCTTCTTCAAGTAGGTTATACTCATTACTTGCTAAGTTTATTCCCAAGTATTTTATTGTTTTGTTGTTTTGAAGGATGAAATTCCCTTTATGATTATATTTTCTACCAGGTTATTGCCTACCTAAGGAAAAATAATCATGATATATTTATTTTTAGTGCCCTTTCTTAGTATTTCTGATAGTTTTTCGGTTGAAACATTTGGTTTTTCTAGGTATGCATACATAATCCTCTTCAAATGATTTTTTAAAATTTCCTCTCTTCCAATATTTATATCTCTTATTCTTTCATTTTCTGGATGTACTGCATTGACTAGAACCTCCAGAAAGATGTTGAATAATGGTGATTGAGGGCCTCCCCACCTTGTTCCTGAAGTAAATGGGAATAACTCCTACTATTTCACCATTTAGTGTGAGTTTGCTGTTTGTTTCTGATGTGTTCTCCTTCTGTTTTTGTGTGAGTGGGGTGATGTCTAAAAGCTGCACTTTTAGGGTGCCTGGTTGGCTCAGTCAGTTAAGCATCTGACCTCAGCTGAGGTCATGATCTCAGGGCCCTGGAATCCAGACCTCCCACATTGGGCTCCCTGCTCAGCGGGAAGTCTTCTTATCCCTCCGCCTCTCCCCCTGCTCATGCCCTCTTCCTCCCCGCTCAAATAAATAAAAGCTGCATTTTCATAACCCCTTATATAAGACTGAGAAAAATTCAGTTGTCCACATCATAATATTGGGAGGGAGAGGAGACCAGGGAGAATTGTCATAAATCCTGTGCTTATTGTGAATATGTTGGTGAACAAAAACAGACACTGATTCTGGAAAGAAGACCTTCATGAAATAATCACACATGCATACAAGCCGAAAAAATATTGTGAATGAATGGAACATACTAATATAATAAAAGAAGTGGCAGAGTCTGGGAATCAAAAAAGACTTCCTTGTGGGGGGAAAGGGAGTGAAAGTTTGAACCGAACTGAAGGAAAGCAAGTATTAACTAGGAAAGGATGGGAGCTGGAGATAAGAATGTTCAAATTCTCCACCTTTCTGATAACCACCGTGATAACCCATATACCTCAATCCTAGGATAAATCCTGGGAAAATCACTGTTAACTTTTCAATTGACTCTCCAGGTTTTGTTGTTTTTTTTAATAGATATCATCACCAACTATATATATATATATATATATATATATATATACACACACACACACACACACACACACACATATAAATGTAAGTAGGTACATTGTATGGGTGTATATACACATATAGCTTTTAAAAATAATCTGGGGTCATAGAATGCAAACTATTTGTTCACCTAATATATTGTGTACATTATTTTATCAGATACAATAACAGTCTGCAGTGTGGATTTACCAAAATTTTACCAGTCTATTAATGATTGATATTTAGCCTCTTCCCAATCTTGGTCTATTACAAAAATGCTAAAATGGGAACCTTCATACATATATATTTTGACAATTGTGACATTATTTTCTTATGATAAATTCCTAGAAGTGGATTGACTGGGTCAAAGTAGATGTTCATTTTTAATTATACCCATGTTGCCAACTTTCACCTCTTAAATTTTGATATATATATATTCCATGTTCTGCTCCAAAATTTTCCAATTTCTTTAATTATATGTGAGATTAAGCATCTTCTCATAGGTTTGTTAACCATTTGTATCTTTCTATGAATTGCCTTTCCGTATTTTTCCATTAAGATTTTCATCTTTTTCTTATTAATATATAAGAATTTTCTGTAAATCTTTGACTATTAGACTATTTGACTATGAGCTCTTTGACTATTATAAGTGTTATAAATATATTCACAGTTTATAATTTTTTGGACTTCTGCAATATAGAATTTTTAAATCTTTATGATACAAAACTTATCAATTATGTCTTTACATTTTGGGGGTTGTCTGTTCCGCTTAGGAAAGCCTAGATTTTCTTCAAATGTGATAATCATTTTGCAATATATATGTGTATCAAATCATCACACTGTATACCTTAAACTTACACAACATTATATTCAATTATATCTCAGTAAAACTGAGGAAAAAATAATATCTTTCTCTATAAGAACCAATTTTTTCTAGTTGTCTTCATTCTTTTTCCTCAGCAGCATTTCTAAATTAAAAAAAAAAAAAGAATGACTCCTAGAGCATTGCCTGGCACACTATAGGTTATCAATAAACACTTGGGGAATTAATGAGTATGTCCTGCAGATTTTTTTGTTAAGAGCATTCTTTTTTTTTTTAAGATTTTATTTATTTATTTGACAGAGAGATCACAAGTAGACAGAGAGGCAGGCAGAGAGAGAGAGGGAAGCAGGCTCCCTGCTGAGCAGAGAGCCTGATGCGGGGCTCAATCCCAGGACCCTGGGATCATGACCTGAGCCGAAAGCAGAGGCTTTAACCCACTGAGCCACCCAGGCGCCCCTGTTAAGAGCATTCTTAAGTAGCTTACTTTTCTCCATGGCTATGGTGAGTTGAATTTTTTCTTTATCTTACATTTTCTGTTTATTGTTTTTATATATGAAAGTGGTTGGTTTTTACAGTTGATTTTATAGCCAGCCTCTTTATGGAATTCCTAAAGCTTCAAATAGTTTTTAGTTGATTCTCTTAGATTTGTTTCGTTTGCAGTAATGATCCTCTTGTCTCCTTCTTTCCAATACTAATATCCCATTCCCTTCTCAGATAATTGCATTAAGTAGTACCTCCAGAACAGTGTTAAATAATGCGAAAAAACTGGCATCCTTGTCTTCTTCCTGATATATATAAGAATGCTTCTGGTGTTTGTCCCTCAAGCC